GCGCCTGAGGGGCATGTCGTTTCTCGGGCAGCGGCGATAGCTGCGCCTGAGCGGGTCGCCGAAGGGCGAAACCTCGGTTCGGAGTACTTCGGGAAGATGCTGGCTGAGGCCACCGTGGCAGAGCTCAAGGAGGAGCTCAGGTGGCGGAAGCTGCCGGTGAGCGGCTTGAAGGCGGACCTCATCGTTCGTCTGACGAGGGACGGCGGCCAGCACATGGCCAGCAATGAGGGGCTGGCTGCAGCGGCGTGGGCCGCGCGGCTGGTTCCAGGCAGGGTGCCTATCCGGGCGTTTCGCTCGGATGCGAGCTTGAGCTCGCGCCTAGGCGCGCTTCTCAGCAGCACGAGGTAGGTTCGGGCCGGGATGGAAGACCCTCTGAGGGCCACCCAAGACGGGTGAGGACGCGGCACGCTGGCCGCTCCTTTTGAGCCAAGGGCGCGCGTCGGGCGCGGGCGCGCGGGAGCCTCGGCGGGGACGCCCGCTTCGGCTTGAGCTTGAGCCTTCAGAGGGAGGTTCGAGCCGCAGTACAGATGAGAAGATGCGAGGCGATGCGCTCGCCTGCATCTTGGAGGCGTGTTGACTGTACATGCTAATCTGTAGCCCCTTGGTCCAAGTAAAAACCATCAACAGTTCTGTTCTGCGGGTGGAACAACCCGCGAATAAGGCAACCGAACAAAACAAAACAAACACACCGAGAATGTAGGGGGTTTTGAAAACATCTCCCGGTTATTTGACGGACTCCAGCTATCAAATTCGATGTTGAGAGTGTTGTTGCAGTTTTGCTTGACGCACAGGTGATCAGCTTCACAGCACCAGCTGCTCTTGCCTCCAACGTAATTCCGCGCAAAGGGGACGTAGTGGCCAGCATTGCGTTTCCAATGTATCGTAGACTCAGTTGGAACTCAGTTGGAACCGCATCCGAATACAGAATAATGCTGTTTGTTGGAAGGAAGTGGACGAAAGTCCAGAATGCCCAGGCATGATCCCATGGAACAATTATGCAGGGCTGCGTGCCTACATTGTCAACCATCTTGTTTTCTAAAAGGATGTCGTTGCGATGGCGGTTCTCTGGCGCATGCGGGAATTAGCGGAGGATGGGTGCAAACCATGTGCAGGCAATGAATAATGGCCGATCCAATCTGGAGGTTTTGTAACTGATGCGTCATGCTTTGAAATTGATGTCCTGACCGTTGGAACCTGAACGAAAAAAGATCCGCACGGGCGGGCTTCGCTTTTCCCGTCGCACGTGGCGCACTGGGTAATCGAAGGCCAGACTGTCAGATTGGATTGGGCCCCAAGGGCCAATCTGGCCCGGCCAATCTGGATGATTTGGGTTATTCGCCAGACTGGATTCGCGTTGGCTCCCTCGCCAGATTGCCCCCGCTTGCCAGGTTGGGCCTGCCAGATTGGCGCCAGATTGGCTTCGACTACCCAGAAATTGATGTCCTGACCGTTGGAACCTGAACGAAAAAAGATCCGTACGGGCGGGCTTCGCTTTTCCCGTCGCACGTGGCGCGCGTGCGCGGAGGAGGAGGAGGAGGAGGAGGAGGAGGGAGTAGGAGGAGGAGGAGGAGAGGGGCCCATCGCCCAGCCCTGACCCCGCAACCCGGTGCCCCGCCGCAGGGGCAGGGCCCGCGCGGACGGGCCTGGCCGCTTGCTCACGGCAAGCCACTCTGGTTGAGCGCTCTTGCCCTCTTCTCCCCCCTTCCCCCCTCCTCCTCCCTCCCTCCTCCTCCTCCTCCTCCTCCTCCTCCTCCTCCTCCTCCTCCTCCTCCTCCGTTTTCCTCCTCCTTCTCCTCCCCCTCCTCCTCCTCTTCTCCCCCTCCTCCTCCTCCTCCTTCCTCCTCTCCTCCTCCTCCTCTCCTCCTCCTCCTCCTCCTCCTCCTCTACCTCCTCCTCCTCCTCCTCCTCCTCCTCCTCCTCCTCCCTCCTCCTCCTCCTTCCTCCTCCTCCCCCCCCCCTCCTCCCTGCTCCTCCTCCTCCTGTTCCTTCTTCTCCCTCATCCTCCTCCTCCTCCTCCTCCTCCTCCTCCTCCTCCTCCTCCTCCTCCTCCTCCTCCGTTTTCCTCCTCCTTCCTTCTCCTCCTCTCCTCCTCCTCCTCCTCTCCTCCTCCTCCTCCTCCTCCTCCTCCTCCTCCTTCCTCCCTCCTCCTCCTCCTCCTCCTCCTCCTCCCTCCTCCTCCTCCTCCCCTCCTCCTCCTCCTGCCTCCCGACCCCCCCCCCTCCTCCCTGCCTCCTCCTCCTCCTGTTCCTTCATTCTCCCTCATCCTCCTCCTCCTCCTCCTCCTCCTTCCTCCTCTCCTCCTCCTCCTCCTCCTCCTCCTCCTCCTCCTCCTCCTCCTCCTCCTCCTCCTCCCTCCTCCCTCCTCCTCCCTCCTCCTCCTCCGTTTTTCCTCCTCCTCCTTCTCCTTCCTCCTCCTCCTCCTCCTCCTCCTCCTCCTCCTCCTCCTCCTCCTCCTCCTCCTCCTCCCTTCAAAAAACCAGGCGTAGGCATCGGTTGTCGGAGGTCCGTGCGGATTGTTGGAACGTGTTGTCGGACCTCCCTGGCAGCGCGTCCGGCGCCGCCCTTGGCTCGCTCCGCCCCGAGTGAGGGGCGTCTGGCGCTGATCCAGGAAAGCTGCGCGGACCTCCAAAAGCTTCGCTTGCCCGCGCAGGGCTTCCCCCCTCCACCATCTCGGGCTCTTCGCGGAACCACCCCTGATCGCCCCGCTCCTCCCGCCGACGTTTCCAAGGAAGCTCCAAAGGGCCCCCAAGAGGGCCCCGAGATGGCCCCAGGGCGCTCCAAGGGGCCCCCCCATGGAGGTCAACTCCTGCACCCTCGCGCCCCTGGCGCGGCGGCAAGAGAGACGTTCGCGCCGAGGCCTGGCTTCGGCCCCCTGTGGCCGATGCTCCTGCAGCCGGAGGAACAGCGAGGGGCCCGCCGCCTTCGAGGTGGCGAGTCCTTCGCCAGCCTGACTCTGGCTGGCCTCGAGAGGCGCTGGTTCGGTAGCACATCATGGGAGCCCTGTGTACCCTCGCAGTTCCGTCTTGAGAATCGGTTAGCGTCTATTGGCGTCTGGAGTCGATGAGGTAGCGCCGATTTAGCGTCGATTAGCGTCGATCTAGCGTCGATCAGCGTCGATGTAGCGTCGATTTAGCATCGATTAGCGTCAGTTCGCAAGAGCCACCAAGATGGCATGGAAGGCTCCCATGAGTTGCCACCGAACGCTGGGTCGCAGAGCCCCCCAACAGCTCTTCGTGCCTCCCGACGGTCGCACTGCGATTTTCTCGCGGCAGGCGCCGCGGGGGCGCCGCCCCCGCCGATGACCCCAGAGCGACCATCGTCTTCGACAGCCGCCGCGCGCCGATGTCGCTCCAACCGCCGGCGCGGTGCCCCGACGCGGTGAGCCCGACTCCCGTCGGTGGGCCCCCCCCTCCCAGCCGCGCCCCGCCACGAGGCGCAGAACGCTCTGCCCTCGCCCTCGAGAGCGGCCTCAGATCCCCGACGAGGTGGTCTCCCCCACCTGCGCTTCCGCCCGCGCCTTCGGTGAAGTCGGGCCTGTCCCTCTACAGGGGGAATATTCAAAGATGGACCAACAAAATAGTTCGGGGACCATTTTGTTGAGCATTGTTTGGCCATTTTGGAGCATTTTGAGAGTGTTTGTTTCTGCATTTTTCGTCGAAGATCCCCTTGAAGAGGGGACGCGCCCGACTGCAGCCTTCGGCCCTCGAGGCTCCCTGCTCGGCCCCCCCCTGGGGGCCGTCCAGGCGCGGGCCCCGGGCGGAGGGCGGGCCGCGCGGCGGCGGTCGCACTCCCCCTGGAGGCCGCGGAGTGGGAAGCGTGCGACCCGGCGGGGCGCGCGCGGCTCTGGCTGCTCCCCTCGGGCCGAGGAGGCCAGCGCCTGGGGCGCGCGGGGCGCGCGCGCGGCGTTGGCTGCTCCCCGCAGGCCGCCTCCGTCGCCGGGCGGCTCCGGGGCGCGCGCGCGCGGCCCCCGCGGCGCCGCCGTGCTGCGCGCGCGCGACTTGGGATGGGATGGGGGCGCGGGCCCCCCGGCAGAACTAGTGGTTGCGACCGCGGCCCGCCGCCGCAGCGCTTCGGCCGGCCGCCGCAGCCGCAGCCCGTGGGCGACTGCGGCCCGCAGCCGCCGCCGGAGGCCGCGGCCGCGCCGCCGCCCGCGGGGTCTCGGTCGGCGGTCCTCGACCCGTAGGCAGCGGGGCACGCGCCGTCGCTGCCGCTCGCTGCGGCGAGCGGGGTAGGGGGCGGTCGGCGCAGCGGGGGCCCTCTGCCGATGGGCCTGTTTTCCACCACCACCACCACCACCAAAGGTTGGAGGGGGGGAGGGGGAGGAAGAGGAGGAGGAGGAGGAGGAGGAGGGAGAGGAGAGGAGGAGGAGATGAGGAGGATGAGGAGGGAGGAGGGAGAGGAGGAGGAGAGGAGGGGAGGAGGAGGAGGAGTGAGGAGGAAGGAGAGGAGGGAGGAGGAGAGGAGGAGGAGGAGGAGGAGGAGGAGTAGGAGGAGAGGAGGAGGAGGTGGAGGTGGAGGTGGAGGGTGGAGTGGAGGAGGAGGAGGGAGGAGGAGGAGGAGGAGGAGGAGGAGGAGAGGGGGGGGGATGCGCATCGACCCCCAATCGCCCACTGGTCGCCGATGGTGCCCGGGAAGGTGCGGATGCTTTGTCGGCGGCCCGTCGCCGCTCGATCGGCGATGCATCGCCGTTTCCATCCAGGTCGATGCGTCCCCCTCCTCCTTCTCCTCCTCCTCCTCCTCCTCCTCCTATCGATGCCTCTCAGGTCTACGGAGCTCACATCGCGACCCTGTTCATCCCGGACCACATCGTCGTGCTCAGGCTCCGCTCGTTGCGGCGCTTGCGGTCGGCGCGGGTGGCTCGGGCCATGCTCATGGTCACCCTGGCCAGTTTGCTCACAAGCGCTGCGGCTTGATTGGCGCTGTTTTCCCTCGGCTGGCCAGGCCCGGACGGCGGGCTGGCGATTGCTGCGCTGCATCAGCTTAGCCTCGTCGGGGTGCTGATGGCAATTTCCGGCATCGTTGGGATCACCTGCTGCGGGGTGGTGGGCCTTCTGATCAGCGCCATGCGCGCCGCTGTGGACGAAGGGCTGGCGTGGGAAGTGCGCTGGGTCTGCTCTGCGGCCGCGCTGGTCGTGGCGAACGTGCTGCTGACGGGCGTGGAGGGCTTTCTCACCTCGTCATCCAACAGCAACGTCTCCGATGGTGCCTTGTGGTACGCCGCTGCCTCGGCCCACGCCATCAATAACGCCTTCAACTGCCTGCAGGTGGCCTTCCTCTCCCGTCTCTCCGGGCCGCGGTCGTTCCGGCGGCTAGCGGTGGACGCTTTCGAGAGGATCAACCCCTACACCTCTTCGGAGCTGCAGTGTCGCTACCTGGAGTTTCTGGTCTACCTGGACGATGCCCAGGTAAAGAGGGTCCGATGCAGCTATCTTCGGCACCTCAGAGGAATGGGCTCCACGATGGTGCGCTGCCAGGAGGTGCCCGTTGCAGAGGCGTACGTTGGCAGCGAGGGTTTACCCAATTCTAGGGACGAGCCCAAGCATCGGTATGTTGTCTCGCACCCTTGGATCTCAAAGGAGCATCCCGACCCCAACGGGGTGCAGTTGTGGGCTCTAGTCGAGCAGCTGGACCTGATGGAAGCTTCCGACTCCGATGCTGTGTTCATCGATTTTATGGGCTGCCGCAGCACGACCTCCAGGACCAGGACCTACAGCGTCTGGAGCTCGAGGGGGCGTGGCCGAATCCTGGGGGGCACCGGTCTGTCCGCAGCGAGGCCGAGGAGGTGCTGTTGAACAAGGCGTTGGAGTCAATGGAGATGCTATACAGGGTCGGTGGCATTCCTGTGATCGTGTTACCTTCGCTCTACGGCGCGCAGCATAGGTCATCGGGTTCATCATCGTTGTCCACCCGTTCTGTAGCGCGCGAACTCAGCATGAGCAACAAGTACCTTTCACGCGGCTGGTGTTTTTTTGAGCTCTGCCTAGCTTTTGCCTACGGCAACATTGCTAACGCGCAGATCGATCCCAACGTTCAGGATCTGGTCCACACAGTCAAAAGGCTGAACGCAGATTCGGTGGAGGGCTTCCGTGAGGCATTCAAGCGCACTCGTTTCACGTGCGAGGGGGACGAGGCCGTGGTTCTCCAGTTGTTCGAGCGGACCCTGAGGCAGAAGAGGGCGAGGCTGTCGGCGGCGGCCCTGCTGCGGTGGCCACTGCACGGCCGCGGCTGATGGCCCATGGGCGGCCCGGTTGGAGTGGGCACCACTGCGCGGCAGGGCTGGACTTGAACGCGGTTTTGCTGGATTTCAGCTGTGTCTTGTTCAGGAGGGAAAAAACACACAGACACAATTAATCGTCGATCCCCAAGAAAATACAGGAAAATATGGGAAGTGGGGGGGAAGACAAAAACCCAGAAAATATGGGAAAATATGGGGGATCCTTTTATTTGTGTGTATTTATTTGTGTGTCCCAGGGCCACTTCACTTGTTTTTCTTTTTGGCAGGGAGGTACAGGAAAACAGGCGGAGCAAAACGAGCAGCATAACGAAACCGTAACGAAAGCCAGCGATTGGGTCCAGCCCTGTTGCGCGGCCCTGTTGGAACGGACACCATGTGGCGGCCCCGTTGGAGGGGGCACCTCGCTGCTGGAGCACGACGGGATGCTGACACTGGGCGCTCTGCCGCTGCAGGATTCCAGCAAGCTGCGCAGAAGAGTGTGAAGGCCTGACGGCCGGTGCCGCCGACCCTGAAAGACATCGACGACGACCAGGAGGAGGAGGAGAAGGAGGAGGAGGAGGCGGAGGAGCAGGAGGAGGAGGAGCAGGAGGCGGAGGAGGAGGAGGAGGAGGAGGAGCAGAGGCGGGGGAGGAGGAGGAGTAGGAGGAGGAGGAGGGGAGGAGGGGGGAGGGGAGGAGGAGGAGGAGGAGGAGGAGGAGGGAGGAGGAGGATGGGAGAGGGAGGAAGGCGGAGGAGAGAGGGAGGAGTAGGAGATCCTCTTCTGCTTGTTTAGCAAAGGAGCAGGAGGAGCAGGAGGAGGAGGATGAGCATGAGGAGGAGGAGGAGGAGGAGGAGGAGGAGGAGGCTTCGCAGAAGATTCCGAGCCGCTGCTGGTGCACGGGCTCGCTCACGCGCTGCGACGCTCAGGTGCGGGGCACACTGGCTGGAACCCGCGACCGCTTTGGACGCCCGAAATGGGTACGGAAAGAATGGGTACACTGCCCAACAACAAATGTTGTCCCAAACCAACAGCGGCCGCTGTTGGGCAGGCGGCCTCCTGTCTCGAATGGACACAGGCCGCGGCGGCGTGGACAGCGAGTCCTGTTCAGAATGAACAGGAACTGCTGTTGGGCATTGTACCCATTCTTTCCGTACCCACTTCGGGCGTCCAAGACCGCAGACGGGCAGACCTGGCCTCCCCGCGCCCGTCTCGGGAGCCCCAGAAATCGACGCCGAGGGCGCTCAGACAGCCGACAGTCAGGAGGGAAAAAACACGCAGGCACAGCTCATCGTCGATTCCCCAGAAAAGATGGGAAACGATGGGAAGTGGGGGGGAAGACAAAAACACGGAAACTATTGGAATATATATATATATATATATATATATATATGGAATCCTGTCATTCGCGTCTATATATTTGTCTGTCCCAGGGCCCCTTCAGTCAGGACGATCCACGGCGGCCTCGAGTCTTCCCAACACGGCCTCCAGACGTTTCAGACGGCTCACTCGGCGCCTCAAGCTGCCTAATTTGCCTCCAAGACGCCCCGAGAGTGCTCCGGGTCCCTCTAAGTCCGTTCCAGGAGGCCCACATCAGGTTTTTTGAGTTGTTGCCTTTTCGGGATTCCGACGGCCCACTACGCTTGAAAGGCGCCACAAACTCGCCCAAAGACGGCCCAAGAGGCCTCCAAGAAAGCCCCAAAAAGGCTCAAGAGAGCTCCAAGATAATCTAAGAGGGTCCTAATCCGGCCCCAGAAAGCTCCAACTCCAGGACGGCTCAAGCGGCCCATTTTCGGCCCCAAGAGGGCGCCAAGACTGCTTTGACACACCCACAATCATTATGGCCAGGACGGAACAAGACTGCCCGATATGGCCTCAAGACGGCCCAGCAGGCCCCCAAAACGCCCCAAGAGAGCTCCAAGGGAACCCCAAGAGCGCCCAGCGCCCCGAGAAAAATACTTGACAGTATGTTTCGGGAAGCTGTAGGTTTTCAATGCAGTCGCGTTTTTGCTTTCAGCAGCGTCCACGGCGGCCCAAAAGGGCCACCAATACCGGCCCAACACGGCCTCACAGAGGCCCAAGTTTGTCCCACGAGCGCCCACGACGGCCCAAGAGGGTTTCCAAGAGTGTCCCGAGAAGAGGCCCAAGAGGAATAATGCAAACCAACATGTCGAGGCCTCTTCCGCAACAGGACGTCCGAGAACGCCGGCAGGTCCCCCCGAAGTCCCCAACAACCCCCCAGGCAGACTTCCAGACGACTCTCCAGGAGGGGCCAATGGACCCCCGAGAGGTTCCAGAATAAACATCCAGAGGCATCGATACAGGCACCCTCTTTGGAATTTGCTTGTCCTGCGCTTCAGATGTCTACAGGGGGAGGTGATTTGCGAGGAGGAGGAGGAGGAGGAGGAGGAGACGGATGAGGTAGGGGAGGATGGTCAGGAGAAGCCAGTAGGGTCGAAATGTTGACGCGACCGAAAATCAATATCTGCGACCAGGGTGATCCAGGCCGCCGGGTAGGTCGCCGTCGCGTGGCGTTTTCCGCGTCCCGCTGGGCGGACTCACCACCTCAAAGGACCCCATGTAACGGGTTCCCGCAGGTTCAGAATGACCAAACGTCTACCACGCAAGGTTCTGAGACCTCTTCTCACCAACGGTAGGTCTTAACCGTGAGAAAATACTTGTTAACCGTGAGAAAAACAACACGTAACAACAGCACGTAAACACAACACGTAAACGTGAGACACAAACAACAACACGTAAAAACAACACGTACAAACAACACGTAACAACAGCACGTAAACACAACACGTAATCACAGCACGTAAAACCAGCACGTGCAAACAGGCACGTACAAACAAGACGTAAAACTTACACGTAAAAACATCACGTAAACCATCACGTAAAAACAACACGTAACAACACAATCCGTTTGTAGGAGGACACGCCCGACATGATATTGTGCCTGCTCCCCCAAGGCACATTATCACAACACATGTCGTCTCAGCCCTGTCTTAGCGCTAGTCTTCGGTACTCGTCCCAGAATGGGGAACAAGGAGGATGGAAGCGGCGCCCCCAAGGGTCATAGTCGCAGGCGATGTCTCTCCCCCAATCCCCGACTTCCGCCAGAAAAGTTTGGTCGCTCAGAAAAGGGGAGGAATCTTGGGATACATCCCGAGGGGGCTATTCGGACGCACCCCTGTCGAGGATTGACGCCCCCCCCTCGTATATCCCAGGGTTGGGCCCCAAATTGTTGATCCTCTCGAAAACCTCACGGAGCCTGGGATAGGGGTCGACGCATCCCCTGTTACATAGGACTGACTGATTGCGGTGTCCACCCGGCGTTCTGTTGCACAGCCAGCGCCGATGGCATTGACTGTCTGGAAGTCAGTCTAGTAGCTCACTTGCTGCGTGCAGATCGCTCGATTGTCGAGGGGAGCAATGTCAGTCCCCTGAGCTTTGTGGCATGCGCCAACGTCGTGAGGCTCGGATTGCTCGTTCCGTGCACCGACTTGCCAGCTGCAGATCATTCCGCACGACGGACGCGACGAGTTGTCGTGTGTCGAGCGTGATCTCGATCTGTACCCTCGTAGCTTCGCCTCTCCCTTTTTCGATGCAATGGATGCGGGACAGCCCGCTTGCGGCAATAACTAGGCTCAAGAGTTGAGTCTCTTTCCGCAGAGTTCCCTTGCGTCCGTTTTGCTCGTGCAGTCATGACGTCCTCTGCAGGGTAGGGTACGGCTCGACTCCCCCCGCAGAACACCGCACTGTTTTTTGCGCCACCAGGACTTCGAAGGGCAGTGAAGATGGGCGTGATCAGCACGACCTTGAGCACTCCCACGCTGGAGGAGTGCGCCATCCATGCCAGCTGATCGACTGGACTGGTTCACAAAAAATAGCCTGGCGAAGGGCCCAACCATAAGCAGTGATACGTACCGCAGTTGTGGCTTGTCTTTTCCACGGGGGCTTTCGGTTGAGCTCCCCATGCGGCCATGCGGACCCTGCCGCTGGGGCTTCGGTGGTGCCGTCTCAAGCCACGAAACGTGGGAGGGGTGCGCCAAAATGTGGGATGGAACCGCATGCGGGCGCTGCCACTGGGGCCTCAGGTGGAGCACCCTTTGGGACCACGTAACGCGTGAGGAGTTCGCCGAAATGGGGGGGGAGCCGCATCCGAACGCAGCCACTGGGGCCTTCGGTCGAGCTTCCCATGGGGCCACGAAACGTGTGACGGGTCTGCCGACATTGCGAGGTGGCGGCATGCGGGCTTTGCCGCTGGGGCCGTCGGTGGAGCTCCCCATGGGGCCACGAAACGTGTGAGGGGTGTGCCGACATTGCGAGGTGGCGGCATGCGGGCCCTGGCATTGCGGCCTTCGGTGGAGCTCCCTACGGGGCTACGGAACGTGTGAGGAGTGTGCTGGCATTGCGAGGCGGCGGTATGCGAGCCCTAGCATTGGGGCTTTCGGTGGAGCTCCCTATGGGGCCACGAAGCGTATGCGGGGTGTGCCGAAATGGCGATTTGGCGGCTCGCGGGCCTTGCCATTGGGGCCTTCGGTGGAGCTCCCTATGGGGCCACGAAACGCTGTAATGGGTGTGCCGAGACTGAAACATGCGGAGGGCAGAGGCATGGAGGGGGAGGAGGGAGAAGGGAGAGGAGGAAGAGCGGAGAGGAGGAGAGACGCGGGGCGCTGTCTATTGAAAGCGAGGGCCCAACACCACAGGATGGCAGGGAAAAAACAAGTGGGCGTCAAGACGGCCTAGAGAGCTCCAAGACGGCCCAAGAGTGGCCCCTGAGGGCCCCAACAGGTTCCCAAGATAGCCCCACGAGGGCCACAGGAGGTCCCCAAGGTGACCCAGGCGGGCTCCCAGAGGGACACAGGAGGATGTAAAACCAACACGTAAAACCACACACGTAAAAACAACACGTAAACACAACACACACACACAACACACACACACGAACACACACACACACACACACAACACGCACAACACACATACACACACCACACACGCACACCAC